AGAGATGATGGGCAAACACAGCTCCAGGACGGGCCGCTCCAGACTTGACGACTTGTTTTTGGCAGCAGGGACCCATAACTCATCCACAAGCCCTCGCATTCAGACTCGCCATTATAACCCAGTGTTTACCCAGTCATGCACTCATCTGCACTGACTGCACCGATACCGGGAAACGAAGACGCTTTGGAATTGTTGATGGAAAACGAGGCATTCTGTGCCTCGGGAAAATCATGTATTTAAAACATGGACTGACACTGATTACTAGAGGAGTATGTTTTTACAGAAATAGTTTACTGAAAATTTGAATATTTGCTGAAAATGTGCTCACACTCAGGCCATTCAAGATATAGATGAGTTTGTTTCTTCATCATATCTGTAGCATTGCATCACTTGCTCAGCAATGGATGCTCTGCAGTGAATGGGTGCCGTCAGAATGAGAGTCCACACAGCTGATAAAAACATCACAATAATCCACAAGTAATCCACACCACTCCAGTCCATCAGTTAACATCTTGTGAAGTGAAAAGCTGCATGTTTGTAGGAAACGAATCAATCAAGACGTTTTTAACTTCAAACGAGTCCACTATCCATAATACTGCTTTCTCCAGTGAAAAAGTCATCTTGTCTGAATCAGCAGAGGGATATGCACAGATCAAACACAGTTTACAAAAACGAAAACCGTTCTAAACAAATGTGTGGGAGGATTTTGATGTGAGAGAACAAGTGGAGAGGGACTGTTTCACTGGAAGAAGCATTATTGCATTGTGTAAAGAAAAGAATCACCCCCCTTTAAAATAATAACTTTTTGTTGTTTTGCAGCCTGAAATGAAGACGGAGACAGTTTTTGTTTTATCCAGCTGTATTTACTCAGTGCAACAATAACATACAAGTGAAAGTAAGCGAAAGAAATTAACACCAACATGTCAGAAAAAAAAAATAAAATAAAAAACAGAAGCACTGAGTTGGAAAAAGGATCAGTCCCTTGTGTCAGTATTTTGTTGAAGCACCTTTTGCTTTAATTACAGCCTTTAGTCTGTTGGGATTTGTCTCTACTAACTCTGCAATATTTGCCCGCTCTTCTTTGCAGAACTTAAGTTCAGTTAATTTGATGGTGAGTGTTTGTGGACTGCAGTCTTCAAGTCATTCCACAGATTTTCAGTGGAGTTTAAATCTGGGCTCTGACTCTGTCATTAATTACTCACCCTCATGTCGTTTCAAACCCGTAAGACCTTCGTTCATCTTCGGAACACAAATTAAGATATTTTTGATGGAATCTGAGAGCTCTCTGACCCTCCCATAGACAGCAAGGTAACTACCATGATCAAAGTCCAGAAACGTATCAAAGAGAACGGTAAAATAATCCATGTGACATCAGGGGTTCAACTGTAATATTACAAAGCTACGAGAATACTTTTTGTGCACAAAAGAAAAAAAAACTACTTTATTCAACTATTCGTCTCGTCCGCATCACCCTGTAGCGCCATTTTGGAGAATATCCGCTGGATGTAAAACAGCGTATGCTGTTCTGTGTCAGCTGCGTCACATGGATACGTTGTTTTCGTTCAGACGAATTGTTGAATAAAGTCGTTTTTTTTTCTTTTGCGCACAAAAAGTATTCTCGTAGCTTCGTAATATTACAGTTGAACCCCTGATGTCACATGGATTATTTTACAGTTCTCCTTGCTATGTTTCTGGACTTTGATCGTGGTAGTTACCTTGCTGTTTATGGGAGGGTCAGAGAGCTCTCAGATTCCATCAAAAATATCTTAATTTGTGTTCCGAAGATGAACGAAGGTCTTACGGGTTTGGAACGACATGAGGGTGAGTAATTAATGACAGAACTTTCATTTTTGGGTGAACTATCCCTTTAAATGTGTGTTTTGGCAAAGCTCAGTCGTGACTGCATGTGGCCTCTCTTGAGGAGTGGCTTTTTTCTCGCAACCCTCTCTTTTAAAAATAACATTTTATAATATTGTCAAATGAAATGTTTTACCTTAAAGTACTGTACATTTCAAATCATTATGTATTAATAATATTTTTTTGTGTGTGTGTTTTAAAGAAGTACACTTCATTTTGATGTGCTGACCAACTTAAAGCACATGTAAAGTACCTGATTAAAATGAACATGTGCTTAAGTCCTATTTAAGTGGCCAAAAAATGCTAACTGAAAATGCAAATTTGCTAAAGCTTCAATTATTTGAAGTATATTATTTCGGTAAAAGCATGCTAAAATGTACTTTAGCATGGGCAATGTTACAAAGGTATTGAAACAACTACATAGAAAGAATAACTACATAAATACAGAGCACATAATCAGTCTGGGAGAATGGCTAATGTATCATAAACACGTAATTCTCAATAGCATCTTCTCAGTCATGTGTGATGTTAGCAGTGTTAACAAGCAGACTGCGGACGGATGAGCTCCATATGAGTAAAGCAGCACCAAACAGCACACTTCAGAGCACAGGCCTCTCATTTGTCCTCACAGTGAGGGGTCCTGCAGGCCTTCCTCTCATCGCCTGTGTGCCGAACACACTCTCTAGAGCGTATTTAGAAGACACACTTGCCAGGAAGACAGAGGTAAAGACCCAATGAAGCTATTATGAATGGGGATCAACACAGGCAGACTGCCACGTGTGTATGTGTGTGTGTGTGTGTGTGTGTGTGTGTGTGTGT